TAACATCTCCTGTGCATAGGATACATAGATACATAATGCACCTGTTCTGTCTCTCCACAGCACTTAAACTGATTCTACACTTACACAGCTCTAAGTTACCACTTTGGTTTCATCATGTCATATTGAGATAGAATATGAACAGCTGGCTACTTCCAATAGGCTTTGCAGGCAGTGCTGTAAAATAAAGATAACTCAATGGAAAGAATGTTTTCTCAAGTTCGCCTAAATGGCATTATTAAGAGGGCTAGAGAAGTAAGACTCCTCCATCTGCGTAACACATTCCATCAATTCATTTGTTGGAGGGTCTGCTCACTTACTGACTCAGTTTTCCTCTGCAGTTAATTTCTTCTTTATTTTTTTATTGTGTCAAAAAGATCCTCTGTATTTCATATAGCATATAGTCCTGTGATTTTTCCTTTCTACCTCCCAAAGTGTACTATTCTCCTTGTGGCATTTTCCTTCCCAGCAAGAAATGAGAGGGGTTTGTATGTTTTAATTTACTGTTAGGAGAGAGAAAACTATTCAGTGATTGTCTGGCTATCAGTATTGTAGGTTTTCCTCCACACCTGCAAATCCATGAGTGCCTGAAGAATGGTTTGTGTGCACAGAAACTCAATCAGCTGGTTTAGCAAGAACTCCTTTCTCTCCTTACATGCCATGAATCTCACATAAGGGAAGCTATACTGATGAAAGCATGTAGACTTTCATAAGTACACAAATAAATTCCCAGGCTGGGGCAGTCAGCCTGTTGCCCACACATCTCTCATGGATTTTGCCAAAAGACAAGAACCTTCTAAATTCTAGGGTTCTAGAAACGGAGACAATTCTTTGGCACCATGGTTTCAGATTTACCTACAGAGCAGTGGTAATGTATGACAAAGCAGTGTTTCAGGCAGATCTGCCCCAGAAGGGATCCTACTACTACATTTTCACCAGTGCAAATGAGCTGATCTCACTAACACTATTCTGTCATTGAAAGGAGGCAAGAAAACCCTAGAAAGTGTCTTAGAAACCCCATTAATGAATTGCTTTATGTACAGTGTATGTGAAGAGGCCCTGATACCTTGTACTTGAAAATCAAGAAAAGCTTTGAAAGAAGTTTGTGTTCTTTTACTTGAGGTGGCAGACAATACTGAGCTGGAAGGGGGGTTGTGGATCACTGTCCTTAATACTCTATATAATGTGGTTCCAGCACTAGTAAACTTAACTGAAAAACTAATAGGATTTCACTGCCTCACTATTCTTGTTGAATGCCACCACACCAAGGGTTAGAAAATCTTCTGATTTTTAGGCTGTATTTGTTATGGCTATTTGTTCCCATGTCAGCACCATCTGTCATCATCAGTGGCCCTCCTCCGTTGTTGACCTCCTGATGTGTATAGACAGCATTCTTATTCCCTCTCACCCTTTGTTGTACCAGGCTAAACAACCCAGCTATTTTAGATTCCCTTCATCCAATAGTTTTGCCATTCTTGTGTTTACATTGATTTCTTTTTCTACAGTCTACAATGCAAATCAGGCTTTTTCAAGCATGGATGATCAAAGCTGTTCTGGATAAGCTCTCACTAGTGCTCTGCATAATAGCATGCATGCTTCTAATTTCCACCCCATTCCTCAGTTTATCTTAGGATCATATCACATGGAGAGGGTAGGAAGGTCATAGTTGTGAGATGTGATCAACTTCGCATACCAAAATTTCTTTCCCTCTGTTGTTTCTAACTGATGTCTTTAATTTCTACCAGAAATCCCTAGTTGCCATTACCTTATACTTTATGCTATAAAATGTCACCTTATTTAAGTCCTGGTCTTCAAGGTCATTAAATTCTCTCTGTGTTAGATTCCAGTCCTCCTCTACATTGCCATGAAACATTATGTATGCTTCCTTTCAAGAGGATAATGGACATTTATTGAATTTTCTTTCATATACTTTTGTATCTTCCTCATAAGCAAACTGAATTTCAGATCTTTGATTTCAATGTCTACACATATGTGAATGACTTTTCAATAAGAACACATTTGTTACACTACCAAATGTATTCAGTTCTTGATCCTGTTCCAAGAAATTACAAATGTTCAAGGTTAATCCTGTATCAAAGGCAAACCATGGTGCGCTGTAGACTTCCACCATAGCTATATTTTTTCATACAAGTGGGAATTCTATGTTATTACTTGGAACAATTTAGCAAATCCATGTCTGAAATAATTCCTCAGATATCATGCAGGTATCCCAAAGATAAACTTGCAACTTAAATAAGACTAAAGGACAATATTTTTGTCTAACTTCAATTTCTCATCCAATACATATGGAGAAGAAACCTCTCTTTTTTTGTTCCAAATAGAAGTTCTTAATTGTGTTTATATAAAACCAACAAATAAGCATTCATATAAAATCATCTAAAACTGGAACATTTCATATTGTCTACCCGACTGCTTTACTGCATGATACTGTGTTTTTCCAGACAGTTTTCTGTCTAAATGATAGTACATTTGATGGAACAATGCAAACAATATAAGTGGAAACAGTTTTGGTAGCAGAGAGTGTAGATCAAGGAGTGTCATGTGTTGTGGCAATTATAAACATTTGCCATTATGAACTTTTTAATTAGTTCAGAGTATTTAGTCAGGGCAAGCAGTATAATTGTGGTTTTATAGTATTACAGTTTCACAGTTTCACAGTATGCTAGAGATTGGAAGGGACCTCGAAAGGTCATCTAGTCCAATCCCCCTGCCGGAGCAGGAACACCTAGATAATGTTACACAGGAATGTGTCCAGGCAGGTTTTGAATGTCTCCAGGGAAGGAGACTCCACAACCTCCCTGGGCAGCCTGTTCCAGTGTTCCGTCACCCTCACTGAGAAGAAGTTTCTTCTCAAGTTTAAGTGGAACCTCTTGTGTTCCAGTTTGTACCCATTACCCCTTGTCCTATCATTGTTTGCCACTGAGTAAAGCCTGGCTCCATCCTCGTGACACTCCCCCTTTATATGTTTATATACACTAATAAGGTCACCCCTCAGTCTCCTCCAAACTATAGAGACCCAGCTCCCTCAGTCTTTCCTCATAAGGGAGATGCTCCACTCCCTTAATCATCTTAGTTGCCCTGCGCTGGACTCTCTCCAGCAGCTCCCTGTCCTTCTTGAACTGAGGGGCCCAGAACTGGACACAATATTCCAGATGGGGTCTCACCAGGGCAGAGTAGAGGGGAAGGAGGACCTCTCTCGACCTACTAACCACCTCCTTCTAATACACCCCAGGATGCCACTGGCCTTCTTGGCCACAAGGGCACAGTGTTGGCTCATGGTCATCCTGTCGTCCACTAGGACCCCCAGGTTCCTCTCCCCTACACTGCTCTCTAACAGGTCGTTCCCCAACCTATACTGGAACCTGGGGTTGTTCCTGCCCAGATGCAGGACTCTACACTTTCCCTTGTTATATTTCATCCAGTTATTCCCTGCCCAACTCTCCAGCCTGTCCAGGTCTCACTGGATGGCAGCACAGCCTTCTGGCGTGTCAGCCACTCCTCCCAGCTTAGCGTCATCAGCAAACTTGCTGATAGTACACTCAATTCCCTCATCTAAATCATCGATGAATATATTAAATAATACTGGTCCCAGTACTGACCCTTGAGGCACTCCACTAGTTACAGGCCTCCAACTAGACTCCGCCCCATAGACTACAACTCTCTGGCTTCTCTCCTTCAGCCAGTTCGCAGTCCACCTCCCTACCTGATCATCCAGACCACACTTCCTCAATTTAGCCGTGAGGATGCTGTGGGAGACTGTGTCAAATGCTTTGCTGAAAAAAAAAACAACTAAACGTTTTGTCTGGTATTTGGAAATGTAATGCATCTGTAAGGTAATGGACGTTCAGACTCCTGACATGCCACTGGGTGAACTCAAAAACAGTTTGATTTTTACACAGCTTGTAAAGTTCTTTGAATGTTGGGGGATTTTTTAATAGTGCAAAACACTTTTTAGAAGCTTGCAAGGTAATCACTCCAGGGAAATGCACAATCACTCCAGATGCACAAATTTACATATGGGATTTCTATTGGAAACAAATGAGAGTTCGACAACATTTCTAACTTTGAAAAGTCTCCCACTGGGAGATGATCTCAATGCCTTTCCTTCCAACTCTTTCTAAAGAAATCCAGACTGTTCTAAAAGGATCTGGATTGCACATTTCTAATCAAAGAGATGTGAATGAAAAAGTATTTGTAACAGACCGTAAATGCAAAGTCTCTTCAGAAAGGTTTGGATCCATACATTATGTAAGAGCTATCCTAAGAGGTGGCAGTTTATTGACACTGTTCTTGCCTTTTTCATCCAAATATATATGAAGAATATGCAATTCTCTGATAATAATTAAATACAGTGCTATTGTTTTGTACAATACATGCATAAGGGATATATTTTTAAATCTATATCAACTTGCACTTTAGTTCTTCCAGACAGTGACAAATGGTATGATTTGTGTGTTTGCATGAGTGTGTTAGCTACTATCCATGCACAAAGGAAGAAATAGTTCCAGAAAAGCATAAGTGCAGTCCAAGAACTGCCTTGCAATGACATCTGAGAAAATCAGGATCTTCCAGAAGAGCTTCTTAGAGGATAGTAGCATAAGAATGTAAGCAAAAGAATTGGTTAAGGCACAAAGATAGGACAAATACAAAAGGATATTTGAAAAATTTCCAAAGTCTTCGTTCGTAGCCATGTTGATTAAGTACTTAAAAAGCCTGACCAAAAAAGGTAAGTCAAAATTGAGGGGTCCATGTTTTATTAGAAAACCTATTCAGTTTGAAATACAAAATGGAACTTGAAGGGATGTAAGCTTAGCTGAAATGTGGTGGTGTTCGCTTCACCTGTAATTTGCAAAATGAGAAAATTTGATTCAGTCACAACATTTATTTCAAATTCTGTCTTCTTTTTCTCTTGCACTCAGATTACCAGTGCAATGCTGTCTTTCATGACCACTAACCTAATTAAATAATTTTCATTTTTATAGGTTCTCAATCTAGTACAGTCCTACGTCACGCTGAGAGTCCCTTTGTATGTCTCGTATGTTTTCCACTCCCCGGTGGGTGTAGGAGGCTGGCAGCATTTCGACTTACAATCAGAGCTTCGGCTGACTTTTGTGTATGACACTGCCATCCTGTGGAAGGATGGGATTGGTAGCCCACCAGAAGCAGAGCTCCAAGGTGGGTTTTGGATTTCTTTTCATTGAACTCATAAGAGTTCTGTTACTAAGAGTATAATGTGCACACAGTAGGATGATTTTTTAATAATTCTAATACTAAAAATTAATGGTATATCACTTATTATCAGTTGCAAACACTTTGTCATATCTGAGCACTCACAGTTCTCTGCTGGGGGGTTTAGGTTAAAGTTGACACCTGTTTTGTTACAAAGAAAAATAATTGTCTTGTTGAAGTACACAGGCAAAAACTAATGACGTTTATTTATACTCAGAACTTCAAGGTTCATTATGTATCCATATTCTGTTACCACACAAGATGCTTGCTCTTTAACGAAAAAAAGTCAAAAAAACTTTTCTCTGATATCATATTTTTCTGGCCATGAATGTACAGTTTCAGAAACTTTTTATATATTGAGCACATTAACTGTGAAACATTCAAAAGATATAGGAATAAGTAATGGTTATAATAGCCTATGTGTTAGAGTACTAAACTGGGAAGCATTCTTTAAATTTGATACTGTCAATAAGTGTTTGTGACTATAATTAGTCACAAATCAAACTCTGACATTACAGAATTTATCTTTCAAAAAATTATTTTATTTTTTTAAAAAGTAGAGACATACAGATGTCTGTGAAAATGTATATTTAAACCTATATGCTCCTTTGTTCTATTTAGGCAAATTCCTTTGGTACTCATCAACATTAAGCTTCCTGTCTTGGCCTATGGTAGAATACAGGCATCACCTATAGTTATTTATATATGCTTTCACAGTTTCAAGACTCCAGTGAGCATAAAACTATTCTTTGTTTCTACAAACCCTGTATATAAGCTACAGAAGTCATTGCTATGTGATTTCTCTCCTCATGTTGAGAACAGTAAATGAGGGTGGCAAGGGGAATCTATAGTGCATGATGAAGCACATGTCATGCCATGCCTAAAGAATAAGCCACATACCACAGATCATATGATGTAGTAGACACTGACTAGCAACCTCATTTAATCCTCAGCTATGTGGCACATCTGTGCCACTGTTTTCCTCTCTTTAATGCTTAATATTTTATTTCTCTGTTTAAGGAACTGATGGCCAGCTGTTTGGAGATGCTGAACACTGGCAGCTCTCTTTGACAACAGCTAGAACAAGACACATGATAAACATAGTGAGGAAGTGGAGTATAGACCCCCAACATATCCCAAAATGATTTGGGCAGTATTTTCTCATTCTGCAGCTTTGTACAATGAGCAGCTGTTTTTCTGGGCAGGAAGGGGTTAACTAGTCTCCAATTTATTTCCATGCCTCTGGATAGATATAGTTGTTCTACGTATATTCTGCATATGACTGTAAAGCAGTCAAGGTCTTCTAAAGCCATATTTCATACATGTATATATCTTTCTGATGTACCAATAAATATAATTGGTAGAGGTGTTTTTGTATGGGTGCTATACATTCACATTGGTGAGGGCGTTAGGTTTCTGACACGTTCATGGAGGAACATTCCTCTTTTCTTCTTGCTCCTGTCAAGCAGAATGGTGGCACATCACTGGCTGTAAAGGAGCACTGGAGGAAATGCCTGAACTCTGAAGCTTTGCAGAACTCTAGAGAAAAAAAAAGACTTGGCTGCAAGCTACAGCAATAAACCTCTTCTGACATATAAACAAGACTTTGTAACCTGAAATTAGGAAACATTAGTCCCATGTCTTGAGCCAGATTCATGCCAGAGATTGCGATGCAAAGTCTGTCAGAATGAGTTTCACAGATTCAAACACCCTCAGATTGCCATGGAAGCCACAACCAACAGCTGGTTGGGTGATACCTTGAGATAATAGATAGGAAGGCACTGATAAAAAGTATCTCTGGAGCAGCTTTCGTTGGTAGAAGTCAGCTTGAATACCTAGTGAAAATATAAGTATTCTTCCTTCTACAGAGCCTTCTGGCAGCTCACCATGCTATTACCCGAACACAAGCACAGACTGTGCTGTGGACTTTTGCCTACTGGAGCGTCTGTTTGGGTCCATGATAACATGTAAAACCATGACTTTGCAGGGAAGTTCAGTATGTGCTTTGGAAAGCTGAAGCATTGTGAAAACTCTAGGCCCCACTGTGTAAATTCTTGCTCAAGAAGAACCTTGAGTCAACCCAAAAGGTACCATTAGGCCGTCTCCCAGATAACTTACATGACAAGGGGAAATTAAAGAGTGGGGTTGGTGTTTCGCAGAAGTGTGATTTATTTACCATCTTCAAGTGGAATAAAAGTTGTAAATTGGTTTCTGCTGCCAGGTTCCCTGTACCCAACCAGCATGCGTGTTAGTGAAGAGGGGCGCTTGGTTGTCAACTTCAAGACTGAAGCCCGATTTCATGGTCTGTTTGTGATGTCCCATCCTGGTAAGCTTAATCTACACTTTAGCAGTACTATAAAAGCAAGGACACCCCTCCATATTCACTTTTCTTATTTCTGCTACTAATGTCTGATTTTTTTTTTATGTAATGTGCCCTTCAGATGGGATTTTTCCCATCTGAAAATGGAAAGTAAGGGATGACTGTATTCTGATTGTCTAACTTAATGAAATATACACGAATCTGATGGAAAGAAGATCGTTCCGCTTGATGAAAAGCCTGGCTTATGAAAGATAAAGATCTAGGCCATTGTGTTCACTATGGATTTATAAGTGTATGTCTTTAATCCAAAAGCTATTATTAATTATTCACTTATGTTGCCCTAGGAATGTAGATAGCATTAAAATTTATTTGCTAACTTGAAACCTTTCTAAGTTTTTTAGACCTTTTTCAGAGAGTAAGAAAAAGTCTTGTATGAGCATTGTATCACTCTGTTAATAAAACATTCTCACTGTCATTCAGTTAGTCGTTGCTGAGGACCTGATCCTGCAATTTAATGTTTAAACCCCACTACCTTTATTCAGAATACAGACATAAATCTGAGCATGAATGCCAGCTACAGAAAAGATTATCTAACTAAATTAAATCTGCTGAGCAATAATGAGAACTTAACAATAATAAGAAGGGACAAATTAATTTTAAGAAATCTCTTTTAGTTTAAGTCAGTTTTATTAACCTATGAAACTCCTTCATGGTGCTTCTACTTCTTCTCAGCTGTCTTCTGACATATTAGGTTTTGTCTTTCAGGCAGAGCTGAAAGAGTTACGTTGCTTAGAGAAATTATTTTTTGTTCCCTGAGCTGACATTCCAAGTTTTAAACAGGAGGGATTATAGATCTTTGCCATTCCTTTCTCACTGTTTTGCCTGTCTGTTAAATTTAATCTTCATACGCTTCTGGTTGTGTAGCCCAAAAGCAACTGTTAATAGACACTTGAACAAGAATCAAGGGGGCCCAGCTGTGTTGACTGTAATTGATTTTGTTAGTTTCAGTTAACAGAACCCAGTGTCCTGTAAAGGTATTAACGTCAACCATGGCATTATGGTTTGTGAATTACTGGGAATGTTTTTCAGGCTCTGAGAGTTTGCAGTGAAACACTAAAGGTGACAAATCTGTCTCTTGACATGTTTCTAGCTTCATCTGTAACATCCATGGTTATGTCTGCTGATCACCCAGGCCTGACATTTAGCCTCAGCCTCATCCGAAGTGAGCCAACATACAACCAGCCAGTACAGCAGTGGAGCTTTGTTTCAGATTTTGCGGTAAAACCTCAGCCTTCACTCTGTTTTCTGTTGCCCCAGCTTGTTAGGATGTTGGTGGAACACCTATTTCTCTCTCTCACTTCAGGTTCGAGACTATTCTGGAACATACACTGTGAAGCTGATAGCTTGTACCACTACTCCACATCAGGAATACAGCCTACCAGTGATATGCAACCCTAGAGACCCTATCACATTTGATCTGGATATCCGATTCCAGCAGGTACCACCCCAGTGATTCCTTTGTCATGTTTTCTTTTTAGTTAGATCCCCAAATTGTCTTTGTGGCCTTGTAATAATAGTGCTAGAAATTGAATTTACTTGCTTATAAACAAACTGATTCCTAAATTGGTGGGACAGCACATACTCCTCCCCTGTAATGTAACCAGTTCTACCCAACTGGGAAAGGCTAATGTATTAGCCCATAGGAAGCTCACCGACATTGGTCTGGGGGACAGCGACTGTGATATGAACTAAACTGTGGGAATTCTTTACTTATCTCTTGGCTTTGGTATGATATAGATTTATCAGATAATTAGGAAAATATAAAACTATTATCAGAAGGTTTTCATCTGTTACAAAGATCAGAGCTAGATCTCTGGTATTAAAAGTTGAATCTCCAGAGGAGGATTCATTCAGTCCTAAGGTAAGCCTTCTTCACTGACTACAGAGGAAGTATAGGTGGCCAGCACTGGTCTCAGAAGTGACACAAATCCCACCCGTAGCAATATGGATCACATGGCAACATGGGAACCAGCAAACAACATACCTTTCATGAAGCCCAGCTGTAAAGTTCTGTAGCTAAGAATGAAATATGGAGAAATGGATTATGCTGTAGAAATCATTGACTGAAAAAAAAAATCTGGGGGTTAATGTTAGTTAACAGAACATAAATTGTCACTTTACAGTATTATCAATAGGGTTAGAGTGATCTTGGGATGTGTAAGGAGTAAGTTATTTTTGGGTTTTGGAGCCAATACAACTAACACTGGAACAGCATGGCTGTGGTTTCATGCTCATTAATAGTATAGATGTATGATATTAAATCATCTTACAGTGCAAATCCTATCCAGATCTGTCAGCAATACACAATCACTTTTCTGTTGAATTAGCCAGAGTACACAACGGAATGTATGCAGTCTTCATGCTTTGGTTTGGCATTATGCCGGCTATGGGTGAACAGATGATTCCTGACGTGGCATTAAGTCCTAGTGAAGCAGAGAGATGATACATGGTCTGACATGAAACCTGCCTTCTCACAGCTAACCAGCAAAACAGTTTGAAAAAATTTACATGGAGGTGAGGGGATTTAAACCAGTTCAGCGCTTCAGCTTTTCTTTGGCATTTCTAATCTGCTTCTAGGAACTCTGAAGTAGTTCACAGCAATGCTAAACCACAGCTTGTGTTTGGTCCTAGAATAAACAAGATGATGACAAAGAAAATTCAGAAAAACTGCAAAAATCATTGCAAAATGGGTGAGGTAGGAGAGACCTAACTCTTACCTGGAACTGACTAAGAATCTGTGGGACTGTTTAGGCTGTTCAATAGCCTGAACCCCAGACATTTAGAAGAAAGGATTCTAAGAGAATGGAAATAATATTTTTTTAACCATTCTTTCTGTGAAAAGGCTGTGGGGGTACGGCTCCTCTTTCTAAAGAATTGCAATGGGTTTATAAAAGTATTTCAGCTATTCATTCTTCTTGCCAAATCCTGTTGCTTTGATAGTCTGGGGACTCTATTCTGAAAAAGAGATTTGAAGAATAAATGTGTCAGATGTAGAACTTGCAGAAGTATTTTCTGTTGGTATTGTTATATCTTATTCCATCAGCCCCTTGTTCATGAGCCAGCAATAATGTTTTCTTTACTGTTTTCCTTCCTTCCTTTCCACACACATATACATATGTATTCATAAATACACATATGTATGTTAGCATTTTTTCATTTGTTTATCAGCCTCTTGCTCTTTTTTTCTATTTTTTTGGAATGTGTGTATCTTCTGTATTGTTTCCCCAGGTACACTACATCATGTTGAACTTGCTCTCCCCAATTCTGTTCACTATATTCTTTCCCTTTTGTTATGCCATGTCCCTGTGTAGTTTGCCTTCCAGCTTGCTTTATGGCCCAATGAGAACCTGCTGATGGTGGTATTGATTTATTTTGTTCTTGTAATGTAATCAAGGAAGAACTATAGATAACTGTGTCAAATGTTAAAGATAAATAATAGCATAAAAAGGTGTGCAAAGGGTTTGGTGCATTTTCACATGCATGGTCTGATATCCTGCAGCACATCAGAAGAACTGATACTTGCAAATAAATTGTTATCAATTTGTACTTTCAAATAATTGGCAGAGGATCAGAAGCAGAGGTGGGACTTGGATGTAAGAATGAAAATGGGGTAAAGAAAACTGGCTGTGATGAGTCACAGCAGGCAAGTTACTGAGGGAAATATTTTCCTGATGTTACCCCCACACATAAGTTACCTTAGGCACCTCCTTGGCTGGGATTTGGAAAAATGTGGTGGGAATAAACAAACCTAGAATCCTATTAAATATCACAGAGGCAGGTAACCTGAAGGTTGTATGCATGTAAAATTTATAGCGATCTATGTCTAGTACAAAGAAATATTTTTTGTTAAAGTATAATATTTCATGTAGATGTGGGGAGCTGCAAAATAAATGTACATTAAGAGAAGATCATGCTATGTTTTAAAAGTCATTAAAGAATCCTTGTTGAAGAGCTTTATGCTGTTGTGTTTTAGGTCAGTGACCCAGTGGCTGCCGAATTCAGTTTGAACACCCAGATGTTCCTTCTCTCCAAAAAGACACTGTGGCTATCTGATGGCTCAATGGGTTTTGGGCAAGAAAGTGATGTTGCTTTCTCAGAAGGTATAATTATGCACAGATCATATACATTTCATATGTGTTCCACGCTTTCAGGATCGTGCTTCAGTAAAAACAAGACAGGAGTAAGGATTTGGGCTTGCTGCTTGTATTCTTTTCCATTTGCCTTTCTGTCGTGGTTTAAACCCAGTCAGGTAATTCGTTCGCTCACTTCCCCCCCCTTTCTTGCCCTCCCCCTGCTCCTGGAGGGACAGAGAGGAGAATCGAAAAGAATGCAACTCCCACGGGTTGAGATAAGAACAGTTTAGTAACTAAGGTATAACACAAATCACTACTGCTACCACCAGTGATAATAATGATAAAGGAAATAACAAGGGAAGAGAATACAACACCTCAGCACCAGCCGACCGACCACTTGCCCCCCTCAGCCCGACCAAGCTCTGACCCATACCTCCTCCAACCCTGCAGTCCCCCAGTCCTTCCAGCTAACTCCCAGTTACATCCTGGGCATGACGTGCTGTGGTATGGAATATCTTTGGTCAGTTTGGGTCAGGTGTCCTGTCTCTGCTTCCTCCTGGCTCCCCCTCCTCCCTGGCAGAGCATAAGGCTCACAAAGTCCTTGGCCAAACCAAAACATCGCTATCAGCTCTGTTCCCAGGCCGAAAGTCAAAACACTGCACTGCACCAGCTACCAAGAAGGGGAAAAATGACTGCTACTGCTGAACCCAGGACACTTTCCTTAGCAAAACTGCACTGAAACTGTAATGTCTGAGGGTTACAGTACTGGTGCCACTTCTCATAATCTGAGCACTTTGTAATCATTGTCTGATATTAAGAACACTACTAGTTGATAAGTGAATATTACACAGGTTTCTTTTTTTTCTGTGCTTGAGTGTACTGGGTATGGCTGGGATGGAGTTAACTTTCTTAATAGCAGCCACTATGGTGCTGTACTTTGCATCTGTGTCCGGAACAGTATTAATAACATGCAAGTGTTTTGGCTGCTACTGAACACAGCTTGTACAGCATCAAGGCTTTGTCCCTTCTTCCTGTCCTCCACTGAGTAGGCTGGGGGGTGGGAAGATTGATTCACCTGACACATTTGTAAGTGGATCTACGTCAATCCTTTGCTTTCCTCCTGTGCCTCTTTTGCCTGTTTATTACTGTGCCAACACCTTGAATACATTAGTGTCTTTTGTGATGTATTTGCACAGACTCTTTGCACAGCAGGTACCTGGTCTCTCCTTCTCAAAGTGCACAGTTGCTCCAAATTGTTGTAAAAGCAATGTGATGTTTCCCCTTTCCTACTCCACATTTTCAACCTTCCTAACCACTTTCTGTCATATGTATCTGACTGCTGCACACAATATACTTTTCTTGCCTGCATAACAGTGGCCCAGGTTATTTGTACAGGTCTGGCAAGCATGCCTTAACTTAAACATTATTAGACAGCTGAAATACAGTTGCATAGTAAGGAACCAAGTCTCAGATAATGTCTGTGTGACTTTTTGTAATGTTAATTTCACTTCTACAGTATGCCAGTCTGACCAAGTATAAGTAAAACCTTATGCAGACTGAACAGGATTCTACCTACGTCAAAAATGGCATCTCTTTAAGAAGTGCCAGAACTGTCAGGAGGCCAAAACCTACACCCTAGTTTGGTGCAGAGGAGTTTCTTTAAGTCACTTTTTGAGTGAAGAACACAGTGTAGCCCAGAATTAAAACAGACCCTGAACTGGCTGAGGTTATAGCAAGAGCAGGTGACCTCCTACTGCTATTTTATGGCTCAGAGTACATGGAAGAGCATGCTCTCTGATCATGACCTTTGAAAGCACCCTACAGAAGAAGCTGGGTAGCAAGATGTCTTTGGATAAAGTCACATTACACTGCACTAAATTTTTTGACTTGGCTTATTAGCTTAGCCTCAGTACTGAGCCAAATGTTCCAGCATAATAGAATGTAAACTGTGTGCACTGTTCACAGGTGATATCATATATGGCCGGGTGATGGTGGATCCAGTGCAGAATTTGGGTGATTCCTTCTACTGTAGCATCGAGAAGGTTTTCCTATGCACAGGAGCTGATGGATATGTACCCAAATATAATCCATCCAACACTGAATATGGGTGCCTTGCTGATTCTCCATCCCTTCTGTACAGGTTTAAGATTGTGGTAAGTGTTCTAATTCTGGGAGGATGCACGTTTTTTTTTTTCCTAACTTATTTTTTATCCAAAACCAACTGTTCTTTAAAATGTTCTCCAGGGCACCATATTTTTGGCTTAAACTCCAGGATAACATGATCTGGTGGTGTATCTTGCCTTTCTCCCTCCTGGTTCTATTCTTTATCTTTCTGGGGACTCCTATCATTTAGAGTTTGACCTAAGTTAGAATCCCAAGATAGTTTTTTTCCCCACATTGTCTATACCTGTTGACCATAGAGGGAGTCTTAGGAGACATGCAAGTTAAGGGCTGGAATTTTTATCTTTAGCCATTAAAAATTTAATGTATAATTTAAAGTTAGTCATCCAATTTGCCTCTGTAATCAATAGGGAAAGAGAGATACCTCTAATGATGGCTTAGAATATCTGAGATTATTTCCCTTCTGAAAATAGAGTAAACCTAAATGACTACAGATCTGTTGCCCTACTTTTAGAAATTTAACTTGAAGTAAGATGATTGCCTAATTGTCTAAACTAATTTATATGAGTATCTGTTAATAGAAATGAAAGTTAGCTTCTTTAAACCGGGAAACAGACTTACTAATTTTTTTTTTCAGACTACATGCATATATCTTTTTTATTTTACAAATGTCGCTATGATTATTCTATAGTGTATCCCCTTGGATTTCAACAAAAAAAGCATTCAGGCAAAAGATTAAATAGAAGTTAGTACAAGTCAGGTGTGACAGCAGCTTCTCATGTCTTTTCTCTTGGTATTACAATGGATTGCATAAAACAATTTATACATTGTGTATAAATATTAGAACTGGAAAAGAAGAAATAAACTAGAATAAATAAATCCGTATTTTGCTAACTTTATTTTTTCCTCCATGGCTATGTAGGACAAAGCTCAGCCGGAGACACAAGCCACAAGCTTTGGAAATGTGCTTTTTAATGCAAAACTTGCAATAGATGATCCTGAAGCAATTCCACTAGTTAAACAGCCAGGCTCTGATGGATTTAAAGTAGACTCAACTCCTCTATTTCAGGTATGATTTCTGTAGCTTATTAGCAAGAGCACTGTACCAAGAAAGAAACACTTGCACAAGAACTGTTGTCAACAGTAAGTCATATTGAAGCCAATAGATTTATTCTGATTCCAATGACAGTCAAACAGGATTATAAATGCTTAAAAATTTCTAGATATAAAATCTGGAGCACTTACTAAGAGATTTCTGTGGGAATACTATGTTTTTCCCTTGCTTAACTCCACATTCTAACCAGAAATTATACAACTTATTCTTATGTATTTCTTCTAAGAACTTGAAAAATTTATTGTTACACAGCACTGTTTTATTGCTTCCAATCTCACGTGTCAAAGATAAAAAGGAAAAGAATCATAGGCATTTATAAATAATTGAATAAAAATGTAGCTATTACTCAGCATTTTCTATGTAATCTCTTCCTTGCAAATTTGCCCATCGTGAAACATCTAAGCGCTGGAAATCCTAGAAACTGACAACTAAAGAGTAAAACTCTTTAATTAGATATAATCCTTCAGCTGTGTGCATTCATCTGTTTGATCAGTGTAAGCCAGTCAGGAATTACTTCTTCATTATTTGTCTCTTAGGTATTTGCAAAGGTACATGCAAAACTCAAGCGTATGAATTAGTGTAAAAAATACTGAGACCTTATTTAGGCTAAATTAGATTTCAGGAGGCTTTAATGCTACTCCTGGCCACTTCAGAATTAAAGGTCCTGTTGCAAGCAATGAAATATTTAAGAGAACAATCTACTTAACAGTAGAAGAAGAGTTTTATAACCTGTCCCCATGAAAATTAAATCTCTTTTTTGTTATCTGAAGATTCCATTTCCAAATCCAGTAGTTTTTGGCCTTCATTCTGTCAAAAGAATGTAAATTTGAAGAAGCAACCATATATCCTGAAAAAGACTTGGAGAAAACAAGAGTAAAATAGAAAATGTGTTATTCATCACAATTATAGAACTTGGCTGCAGCCACTGAAATTATCAGACAATTGCTTTAAGACTGTATTCAAACAATCCTACTGGACCTTGTGGAAGCCAAATTTATTATGTATCCTGAAAAGATAAGACAAATTCGAGAAAGAAAACATCATCTAATGCAGATCGCATGCAATCACAGAAAGGATGAGGTTGTCAAGGGCCTCTGGAGATTCTCTGTTCTAACCTTCTGCTTAGAGCCAGTTGCCCAGGTCTGTGACCAGTTGGATTTTTAATAACTCCAAGGGTGAAGATTTCACAGTTTCCCTGTTGCAACGTTCGATCACCCTGACAGTTTAAAATTCTTTCTTATGTTTAAATGGAACTAGACACAGCCAGGGCCTACCTAGTCAGCTAGCAATTAGGCCTGGGATGTTCTCTTTTGTGAACTGTCTACAGTTGAGGTTCTTTTGATGGCCATTGGTACTAACAGTACCAAAAAGATACCAAGGCTACACCTCTTCATCTGCACCTGATAGCCATAGAGTCTGGCCATGGAGAGGAATGGAAACTACCCCCTTTAAAAATTTTGGCAGAAAACGTGACTTCTCTGGTGTACGTTGGCACATAGTGCAGGGCTTGTATGTGTGTGACTTTGAAAGTACTTGTCCAGGCAATCAGTTCAGAACAGTGGTTGATTTCCTCTGTATATAGTGCTGTCTGATCGTGTATGCATGTATTAAATACAAAACATTTTGTCTTTCTAGGTGTCTTTGGGTAGGGAGTGGTATGTCCATACAATCTACACTGTACGTTCAAAAGAGAATGCTAACCGCGGAATTGGCAAAAGGAGCGTGGAGCATCAGTACCACTCGCTCTTGAGCCGTGGAACTTCAGGAATATCCACACATAGACGTCAGAAGAGGGGAGTTCAGCAGGATCGAGATCTTGCAAAGGACATTGGAGTAGAAAACAACCGAGGAACAAACATACAGCACATAGCACTAGATCGCGCCAGCAAGAAACAGGTCCCTCAAAGGGAGGTTGCAGTCAATGGTGTTCTCCCCAGAGAACTGAATAACCAAAGTGCAGGGGTCAGTGTAGTCACAATCATTGGTGGAGTTGCTGCCATTTTCCTTGCCATCTGCTTAATTGCAATCATTGTTTTGCTGCTAAAATGGAAACAAAATTCTGAGAAGAAGGAAGCCAGAAAGGAGCCAGGCAGCAATGAACCAATGATGCTTCCGTACAATTACGCCAGCGACAGCTCAGAGGTTTGACTCCAAAATGGCAGGATTCAAGCCAAGTCTCCAGAGTGCCTCAAAAAGTACTTGAACTGCACTTTGCTAGCAGCAGATTGTGGTAACTCATGAGGAATGAAGAGTTCATATGCTTCTAGGTGTACCTGAAATTTTTTATCCTGAACTCTTGCTGCCATCATCAGCAATAGAAGAATCTATACCAAACCTCCCACTATGCAAAAAGGGTCATCCTGACCTCCCTATATCCTGCACTAATCTAAAGTAGCATTTCAAGGAGCTGCATTGTAAGGGAGAGATTTTTTGTTTTGTTTTTGTGTTTTCTGACATTTCAGAACAGTAGATGAATCTGTCTAAAGGTGCTATATATCCTGTCTGCAATAAGAGAGGAAATCTGTTTCTTCGGAAACACAAAATACTTGAGAGGAGGAATCCTTATACTCTTCAGTTAAATTTTGTATTGTTTTTTACAAGGAACACAATATCTACAATGAAAGGTGATGAAATGCCTCAGGCATGAATCCTCCCTCCTGTAAGTATTTGACTTCACTTAAGCTATACCAGTGATTTCTTTTTACTTTTTTTTTTACTTATATATAACTGAACCTTTTCAAAAGACAGTTAAATTAGACAGCATAACATTACAAGCAGTTGCATGTCGCAGGATGCAACGCATATTCTTTTCTGCAAATTCATATTCAGCTATTTAATCAAGATTTTTTTTCCCCCGTATTTATGTTTATATAAAGCCAAAGAATGCAACAGATCCAGAAAGAAAATGGTTTTTCACAGAAACTTGAAACATGTCCTTTTAAGTTTCTAATGGATCATGGAGGTATGGTAAGGCAAATTATATTTTTTAGTGCATATCCACTGCTGGGAAATGCAAGCATTAGTATTTCAGTACCTAGAGAAGGTGATAGAGTTGGATTCAAAATGCAGAGGACAAGGTTCTGCCCGAACTGAGCCTAGGAGTCATTATACTGAATCCAGCGTGTCGTTGCCAGTTGCCATATTAAATGGCAACAAAGCAAAGAAAAAAAAAAGCCACATTTGATTGAATCAAGTAATATTTATTACTGTATAATCATAGCACATCTTGACAAATGTCCTGGGTCATTGTTGGGCATTTTTTAACAAGTGACTACTTTTGCAAGAGTAATTCTAATTTTCTCTCAGAGCTGTTGATGTAGGTAACATGACAGCATGATGATCCACAGAAGTTTGGATCAGAAGTGTCCCATGTCATTTCTTAGCCAGACAGGACCTATTCTGTCCCAGAGATAGTCTTCCAAATATTTGGCTATGAAAGCTATTTAACCCTTAGGACAGATTTTACCATTTGTCACAATAGTGTTATATATGAATAAGCCCTTTCAAATCAGAGAACCATAGAATGGGTTGGGTTCGAAGTGATCTTAAAGATCATGTAGTTCCAACCCCTTTGCCACAGGCAGGGACACCTCCCACTAGACCAGGTTGCTCAAAGCCCTGTCCAACCCGGCCTTGAACACTTCCAGGATATGACATCCACAAATTCTCTGGCAAACTGTTCCAGTGTCTCACCACCCTCACAGTAAAGAGCTTCATAATATCTAATCTAAGTCTACCCTCTTCCAGTTTAAAGCCATTCCCCCCTTGTCCTATCACTACATGTCCTTGTAAAAGTACCCTCTGCAGATTTCTTGTAGGCCCTCTTTAGGCACTGGAAAGCCCATGTTTTTCTTATGTTGGGGAGCCCAGAGGTGAACACTCCAGGTGGGGTCTCATGAGAGCCAAGTAGGGGGGGACCTCCCTCAACCTGCTGGTCACACTCCTTTTGATGCAGCCTGGGGTATGGTTGACTTTCTGGGCTGTGGGCACACAATGACAGGTCACGTTCAGTTTCTTATCGACCAACACCCCCAGTGTCTTCTCCTCATGCATGCTCTCAATGTACTCTCAGACCACCCTGTATTTGTGCTTGGGATTGCCCTGACCCAGGTGCAGGACCTTGCACTTGTTGAACTTCATGAAGTTAGCATTGGCAGACCTCTCAAGCATGTCAAGATCCATCTGGATGGCATCCCTTCCCTCCAGCATGTCAATCACACTGCACAACTTGGTGTCATCAGCAAACTTGCTGAGGGTGCTCAATCCCACTGTCCATGTCACTGCAAAGATGTTACAGTGCCCAAGTCAATGGAGTTGTCAAAGGAGTTAGTTAAACTATAGAAATGATGTAAAATCTGAATCATGCTGTTGAGACTGTTGCTAAAATACCTGTTGCCTTTCACCACTTTGTGGTGGTTGGTGCAGGCAGCCCCCAGACTATCTTCAGCTGCAATACACTTGGTCTTTGGTATTCTGGGGATCGTGCTGCAGAGATCTGAGCTAGCTGAGCAGGATCCAACTTAAAAGCAGCTTGCCTGCAAGCACACAATGCTGCCTCTGAACTAAACAATCCATCCAAAAGGTTTTCTGTACTGTCTGTGGTGCTCTCTCAGCACGGATAGACCTAGCAATTCTGCACAGTCGTCTTCTGAGCCATAAAGACTCAGAAACATTGAGGTCTACTAGCCTAGGAATATCTGTGCTAAGATTCATGGTACACTGTGAATATGTCCACAGAGGGATTCATGCTGATACCTTTTTTTGCTCATTTATATTGTTATGACTTCATTCATTTAACAAGATTTCATCAGGTTTTCACCAAATAAATCTGGTCAGGATCTGTCTTACCTTTTCTAAGTTTTCTGAAGGCTGTGATTCAGACTGCTTAATTGAAGGATGTTTGCAGCAACCTAAGGGTCAAACTCCATTACTAAAACCATGCAGTCATCTTTTATTTTAATTAATCTGAGTTCTAGCCCGAAACAATTATCCTCAAGATGTGTCCCATGCATTAAACCCTTTCCCCAGTCACCTGACCTTAATTTACTCCTTTAATGAAGTTCCTTGTGTTGTGATCTATGTGTTATGTGTGCAAGACTGATCAAAGATTTAGCCCACAGATGCATTTTCTATTTAAAGTTCACCACTAAGTTGTGAGTGTAACCTAAGGTCAAATTTGCCTTTGTGCCTATATGTGAAATCACTATGACAATGAGAAATGCAGAATTCATCTCCTAGGACATGCATGTTGAGGTAACAGCAGTCAATGATTCTACAGAAAATGGGACACATGTAAATAATAGAACATTTAAATATTTATAAAATGCCTGTTTTGTATAAGCAAAGATCTTTTTAAAAATATATGTTTATCAGTAGAGCTATTTTTCTGCTTTTGAATTTTAACAGACAAGTATCACTAAAGTTGCTTGCAGGCAAAATCTTTTTTTAATTATTATTTCTTTTAATAAAAATCACATCAAAAACCATGTGTTCTACAAGCCAAATATTTAGCTTGGCAAACAACTTGATCACTGTTCTGTATAGCATTCAAGGACAACTCTGTAAAATGTTTAGGCTGATGGGGATTATCAGACTAAAGTTTTTCTAACAGTATATAAAATAATAGAGCAAACTGGTAATAACAAAGAAAAACACAAAGAAAACACTGAAAAGCTGAACAAGCATGAGTAAGATTCGAGTCAGATATCGAAGTCCTTTGCCTGGGAAAAAATCCCAGTGTTTTCAGTGAGGCCTGCCAGATTTGTCCCATTCTTAAGGAAATGGATTTCTTACAATTCAGTGAACTACAAATACATCTATACCAGCATGCCTTTTTTATTATGGCTTCAAGATTTTAGATTTCAGGAAGATGTTTTTGAGGATTATTGACATTTTCCCTTCTACCTAAAAAGTGGCCTTGTGTATACTAACCTGAATAAGTGCCTCATTCCCAGTTATGTGCACAAATATGTTAATATTTATCTATCCATGCAATAAACTGAGTATATTTTATATATATATATTTAATCTATTTCCAGATTATGTATTCAATCCTCTTATCCCTGGAGATGCTTATTCTGCTAGCAGTAATACCGTTTGTTAAGCCATTTATACAATAACTACTGTATTTAAATTTGTCAAAAATCTTTCCATACATATTTATTTGGAACATTCTTTTACTTATGTCTATGGCTGTGATATTTGGCATTTGTATCAGGAAAAAATAAAACTACATTTGTTTTGGTTACTGCTGTAAGATTTGTGTGTGAAAATCACACTGTGGAAGGGGGTCAGTAATGCAGGGTTAACAAAAACTAATTTGTCTCAGTGATGGAAGAACATAAACTTACTACTATGGTTGTAATAAACCTCTCTGCTTTGCTCCTGAACTGGTTGTTTTCTGGTCATCAGGTGTTCAGGACAGGGGCTGGCTGTTTTTTAATCATTGTTGTTGCACTCATGGCTCAGAGAGGGATTTTTCTTTCAATTCCAGAACATCAGAAATCTCCTGACGTCTGCAAGTGCTTTGTAGGGTGGATTGCCACATTCCCATGTGCTGGCAGGGTTTCTTGCACCAGACTCACTGACAAGTGAAGGTGAGCCTGCAGGAAACAGTTCTCTTGTTCCTGCAGTGCTGATGTTGCTGTCAATTTTTATTTCTCAGAGTACATTAGATTTTTTTTCATGGCAAATGGTACATAATGGTGAGAGAGCATTGCTGCTCAGGAGAGCCCAACAGCCTGTTCAGGAGGGCCCAATAGGCTGTTCAGGAGGGATAGGAAGGCCAGGAGAGGTGGAGGAGTTGCACTCTGTGCAAGGGAGGAGTTGGACTTCACAGGCCTTACTCTCAGGGGTGATGGATTGGAGAAGCTGATGGTGAGGATCTGGGGAATGGAAAATAAAGCAAATGTCCTTGTGGGTGTCTGCTAGCAATCACTACTTAGCAGGGTCTCCTGGGCATGAGCTTTTGAGGACTTAGGGGACTGTGAGAGCTGCTCACTTTTAAAGAACCACCTTTTGAAAGCACAGGAGCAGGAATCCCATCGTGTCAATAGGAGTCAAGCAGGTGTGGGAGAAGAGCAGCCTGGAAATCCTCCTGGAACTGGTCAGGAAAAGAAATTGTATCCCAGAAATGGTATGCTCCCTAGAAGCAAGGTCGAGCTTCCCAGGAAGACTACTGAGCTGGGTCTCACACATGGAGGGAGACATCACGAAAGGCCAAAGCTCAACTAGAGATGAAACTGGTCAGTGTTCCGTCAGACAACAACAAAAGGCTTTTTAAAGGATGCTACTAACAAGCAGAGGCCTAAGGGAAGTCTCAGACTGATACTTTATGAAGATGGCCACTGAAAACTGGGGATGAAGAAAAGACAGAGGCATTTAATACTTTTGCTTTGCCTCACTGCATGGTAGACATGGGGCTCCCTGCTCCTGAGTCAGAAGACCACGGCTATGGGAGCCGTGACTTGGTGGACACTGCAGTGTATGGGAGCAGTCCCTGGGGCCAGGGCTGGACATGGGCATGCTGGGGAGAGCCCCACAGTGCCCTGCCCCACCTGGGCCCCCGGGTTCCAGAGCTGATGTCACAATGGTGTTCCATTCTAACCCGGTGGTTGCCTGGCAAAAGCCCCAGTGCCTGCAGGGACGGTGCCGGGTGTAGCAGCACCAGCAGCACTGGGGGTGCTTTTCTCTTGCGGAGGAGCACTCCTGTCGAGCTTCACAAGCTCTCTATTTACGGGTCTTCTCCCAGCCCTGTGAGGATGGGCCAGTGGTTCTGCTGCTGCTGGTCCAGGTGAGTTCCCCACGGCTTGGGGACCCGCCGGCACAGCTGCACCCCAAAGCAGCCGCCTCGCTCATGCTCAATGCCATCTGCCCTGCAGGGATGACCCTGACCCTGAGCAGCAGCGCACGCGTGACCAGGCACAGCCCAAGCCGCTGCTGCGGGAGCGTGTGCGGGTGACCCAGGGCCATGGCCAGGGGAAGAAGAGGGACCACCTCCTCTTCAAGGACAGCGTGGTCATCACCAAGACCAAGTAAGACTGGCAGAGCCCAGCTGCCTTTCCTCCCGAGCCATGGCCCTGGCACCAGGGCACCAGAGCAGGGACAGCCAAGGAGCAGCCCCAGGCCCCCGGCACCCTGCTGCTGGATGCACTCATGGCTGTGCCCGTGGCAGGCGGGCTCTAGAGTGGAGCCAGCGGGCTCGGCCACCTCCAGATCACTCTCTGCTTCTCCTCTCTGCAGACGTGGCAGCACCCAGAGCCCGCTGCTCTGCCTGGCCCTGGGCGTGCTCCAGGTGCTGAGCGGCGGGAAGGGCTCAGCTGGGGATGCCGCTGAGGACGAGGAGGAAGGGAAGGCCGTCAGCTCCCTTGTCTTCCTCTGGCCCTGTGGCTCTTGCGTTGTCACCTTCTGGTGAGTCCCGGTGCAATGTCCCGCCAGTTGGGTGGGCAGCACCTCTGTCCTGCCCCATGAGGCATCGTCTGCTGGGGCACAGCAGGCACTCAGGCTGTTTCTCCTCTCTTTTGGCAGCTCCCGGGCAGTGAAGGAGCTCTGGCTCAGCGCCCTCCTTGGGTAAGCCCTGCCTGGCACTGAAGCACAGGGCAGCCTGTGCTCCCATCATGGAGGGATGTTCCACCTGTGACATACAAACAACAGTGAAACGCCTCTGCTGGGCTTGGCAGAGGTGCCCCAGAGGTTGCAGGCAGAGCTGTCCCCAAAGCTGCAGGCAGAGGAGTCCCCACTGCTGAGCAGCCACAGATGCCAGAGCTGCTTCATCCAGCTGTGTCAATCCAACTCCGGCCCAGCCTCATCCTATCCACTCCTGCTGCTCCTGCTCCACTTCCGGCTGGCACCAGCCATTCCAGGCAGCATGGAAGTGCTCCCCAGGCTGGCAGCAGAGAGAAGAGCTGGCTTGGGTCTCATGCAGCTCTTTCTGTGCCCCTTCCCTGTGCACAGGCCACCGGAAGGAGTGCTAGGAGCCCGGGTGACACAGCTGCCATCCATCAGGCTCGTGCTGAAGGAGCTGAGGGGCCACAATGCTGTGAGTGTCCTTTCTGCCTCTGCTCTGGCTGCCCCAGCCCAGCATCAGCTGCATCGCTCCTCACCTTCTGCTCTTTTCCCCTTGCCCAGGCGACGACACTGGATGCCAACAGCCTGGAGAAGCTGCTCCAGCACCAGGCTCAGGTCAGGGTCACTTGAGGTGCAATCTCTCCATCCCCACCTCTCATACACGGACAGGGGCTGATGCAGCTCACGGGGGACCCTTTGTGTTGAGGGGCTGCTTGGTGAGTGCAACCCGTTTCTTGCAGGCTTGTGCCAAGCAGCTGCCACCTCCCATCTCTTCTGGCACTGATGCTGGACGCGGCCACGTGGATGGTGACTTTGGAGAGGACAGGGGCAGGATGGCCCTTCTCTCCTGCTCTTGCAGGTGGGCATGCCTGCTGTGATGGGGCTGCCGCTGCCCTTGCCACAGGGCACGTCCATCCCCATCCCTCGGCAGCAGGAGAGAGCTGAGCCCCGGGGCCCTCCCTCCCAAACAATGCCACCTCTCCCGTGGCATCGACAGTGGGGGACAGCACTGAGAGAGTCTGGGACCACTCTCCTGGTGCTTCTCCTCCATGGCTCTTTGCTTTGATTCCCTTGGCAGCAGGCAGGTCCCACAGCAGCAGGATGAGGCTGCCCTGGCCATTTGCACGGCCAGGGACCTCAGCTGCACCAGAGGGGCTGGGGCCATCAGGGTCTGCTTCCACGGGAGCTCTCTTTGGCCGCCCCCTCGGAGACCTCTGCAGCCAGGACGGCATGCTGCCCCAGCCTGTTCAAGTAAGACAGCCTTACTTGAATGATGGTAATGGATGGAGACAAGGGGTCCCCATCCCATCCCATCCCATCCCATCCCATCCCCTCCCCTCCAATCCCACGCCATCCCATCCCATCTCTTCCTATCCCTTCCCATCCCATCCTGCTGGCTCCTCCAGAGAGGGGCTGTCCCAGGCACCTAGCTCAAGGCCTTTCTCCAACCTGGCAACTCTCCTCCTCTGTGCCCTCAGGACCTGCTGGCTCTGCTCAATGAGCACGGGCCATCCACGGAGGGGATCTTCCGGCGGGCAGCCAACGAGCGTGCCACTCGCGAGGTCCGGGAGGCCCTCGATAGTGGGGTGGAAGTCCACCTTGAAAGCCAGCCTGTGCTGCTGCTGGCTGTCCTCTTGAAGGTGAGACCTGCTGACCTGGAGCCCGGCAGCTCCCGGCTCTCTTGGTGCTGATGGGCACCTGCGGGAGCACAAGCAGACACCCAGCCGCCTGCTCATGAGCCAGAGGGCTGGGGATGCTGTGGATGCTCCTGGGGCCCAGTGGCCAAAGCCTCACGTGGAGCCCTTGGCACTGCAGGACCTCCTCCGGAAGATGCCCTCCAAGCTCCTCGATGGCCAGCTTTACGAGGAGTAGATGAGCGCCATGCAGCAGACCAGCAGGCAGGAGAGGCTGGCAGCACTGAAAGAGTAAGTGTGGCAGCAGCCTGCAGGGACCGGCACAGGCTGGGACTCACCTGCAAAGCAATGGCCTGCCTGAAAGAGCCGTGGTTTCTGCAAGCCACCTCTCGCTTCTGTGGTGTTTTGGTTTGGGGGAAAAGGGCACAAGAAAGCATTTCTCCCCATGGAGTGCTTCCCAAAGGCACTGGGGCTTGCTCCAGCAGGGGCCTCTTTGAGAAGGGCAGGGATGGAGAGAGGTGGCCATATCTCAGCAAAGGCAGTCCCTCTGCTGTAGAGCAGGCGGTGGCCTTGGGTGAGATCAGCCTGGGAGACCTGTGTTGTCAACACCGACTTCATTAACGTTGTGCTCCTGTTCCCTCAGGGTGGCCAGCAAGTTAGCAGATGCCAACGTGCTCCTGCTGCGGCAGTTGCTGTCTCTGCTCAGCAACATCTGCAGGAACATGGCTGTGAGCAAGATGACAGCTGGGAACCTGGCCATCTGCCTGGGGCCAAACCTCCTTAGCCCACCCCGTGAGCTGCCCCTGGATGTCCTGGCGCAGGAGACGGGAAAGGTACGCTGCGTTCATCGCCAGGCTACAGCCACCCCAGCCCACCCCAGCTTTGCTGTTTGAAGGGCCCTGGCTGCCTCCTCCCGTCAGCAAAGCTGTGGGGCAGCAGCCGGCAAGAGCAGCCCCATGGCCGCGCCTTCCTGCACAGAAGCATGGGTGAGGCTGGGGAAGGCTATTTGAGCCCTTATCAGCCCCCGCGGTGAAAGCAGCGCTTTGCTGTGTGCAGGTGACGCAGCTCGTGTAGTTCCTCATCGAACACCAGGAGGAACTCCTTGGGGCCGGGCTGGCCAGCGAGGGGCCGAGGAGCCACCAGCACCGCCAGCAGAGGCAGAAACAGCAGAGGTTTGTGAAGTGCACAAAAAGCATGACAACAAAAGGCTTCCTCCTCAGAAGGTGGGGCTGCTGCCGCAGGGACAAGCACGGTCAGCCACCAGCCTGCAGCTCTGCCAAAGTGCAAAGCAAGGTGGATGCAGCTCAGCCATCCCGCTTTGTGCAGTGACCCCACAGCTGGCTCAGCTGAGCTGAACAAAGCCATGCGAAGGCTGTGCCTTTCAGAGCTAAGGCAGCAATTGGTCAGGGAGGTCCTTGCCCCCTGCTAACTTGCACATTTCCATTGCAGGTGCCTCCTGTCGCTCCTGAAAGTGAGCAACGGAATAGCTTTTGTGGGGAGAAAAGGTAAGACTACCTAGCTCTGCTTGCTTCAAGGTAATCATGGCTTCAGCTAACAATACTGTTGAATGGAAAGGTTGCCAGGCTCTGCAAGAGGGAACAGAATGCAGCGAGCAGCCTCTGAAGAGGGGAGTGATGGGCCACCATGTAAGAAGAAGAGCAGGTTGCAGACCGAGCCCTTATCAGGGATGGGCAACTGAAAGCAGGGGAAGAAGAAGGAGGAGTGTGGGTACGTAGCAGACCCTGTTTTCCATCTTTCTAAGTTCTGAGTATAGGAAATATTCCTGAGGTGCACAGGATGGTCCTAGAAAGGAGGCATTCAGATGTCCTCAGTGGAACATGTATGTCAGCAGAAGCATACCACCGCAGCATTGGCAGGTTTCATTTTGCACTTGTAGAAGCTCAGTTTGTGTAAGTCTGATTTTAGTATGGCACAGTGAGGGATGCTGCTGCTTGGGGTTTGGAAAGGACCATATCAGAGCTTCCCAGGGCTCCCTGCCGAGCCCTGCTGCCTGGCAAGGCGGCGCCACACATCCCTGTCAACTTGCCATGCCTGAGCGTATCACGCAGGTTGAAAAGGGACCAAAAGCAAACTGCAGTTGCCAGTAAGGAGCCAGCCTCTCTCCTGTGCTAGGAATGACCCCTTTCACAGCACACTTCCAAAACACCCAGGAGAGCCAAGTCCCGCCTGTTCCTGCCCTCGTGATTTCATCAGCGCTTTCTGACTCTGCCCTTATAGGTGCCCATGTACTGCTTGGTCTCCCCAGATGAGCCCTGCCGCCTGGCCTTTGAGTTCCACCATGCGACCCCAGCACCACCCCGGTGGCGGTGACGACAGGGCCACGGTGTCTGGTCTGGAGGGAAGGTGCCACCAACTCACCCCGGAGCCAGAGCAGCACCGTCAGGCCCATCCCAGCCCTCACAGGAGGCCTTGCCGGCTCATTCATCAGCCCCACCAGCAAATGCCTACCCGCTGGTGCGTCTCCCCAAGTGGGGAGCTGGACCCTGGGCTCCATCTTCCTGTGTTTTTTACAGTGTTTATTTATCACTATGACTGTTACTGCGTTTGTTGCTTGTTTATAACTATGTTTGTTAGGCTATTACTATGTCTTTTAGAAACAAATGTTAGGATATTTTAGGCTGAGAAAGTTGGGGTAGGCTGAGAAAGCTGGGGCTGTTCAGCCTGGAGAAGAGAAGGCTGCATGGAGATCTCATAGCAGCCTTCCAGTATCTGAAGGGGGGCTATAGGGATGCTGGGGAGGGACTCTTCATTAGGGACTGTACTGGCAGGATAAGGGGTAACAGGTTAAAACTTAAACAGGGGAAGTTTAGATTGGATATAAGGAAGAAGTTCTTTACTGTTAGGGTGGTGAGGCACTGGAATGGGTTGCCCAGGGAGGTTGTGAATGCTCCATCCCTGGCAGTGTTCAAGGCCAGGTTGGATGAAGCCTTGGGTGACATGGTTTAGTGTGAGGTGTCCCTGCCCATGGCAGGTGGGCTGGAACTAGATGATCTTAAGGTCCTTTCCAAGCCTAACTATTCTATGATTCTATGATTCTATGGTATAGTGGTCTAGGATAGTGGTCTTTTCATGTTGTTTGAGTACACACTTAACAGTTTCATAGTTTTTAGGATAGTTAGGTTTGGAAAGGACTTCTAGCAGTTTCATGTTGGTTGACAAGACTTGTCTTAGAGTGGCTTTACAGTGCTATTAGCAACAAAGCAGAAAGAATTACAAAAGTCGTATCTCTCTGCCTTGCCGTCTGCATCCTGCTGAATGCAGAAAAAGAAAATATTCTGCAGAACAGAAGAGAAAGTGCTGAGAGAGTCTTTGGATTAAGCAAGAAATGACAGAGAGATATTTATGAATGCAGAAGAACTACTACTGCACCTTGAAAAAGATTCAAAAATACTCCAGATGAGTACTGGCCTGCGACTGGAATGCAGCTGCATTATCTTAGAGACCTGTTAAGGTCCAGAAGTAAAGAGAAAATTGTTTCTAAGAGAAAATGCAGGCAGGCAGGCAGCAGAAAGGAGCATGGAATTGAACCACTGTGTTTTCATTGACAGCTGCTCATTCTGGGCAGACAGATGTTGAAACAAAAACAAAAAAGCAACAATAGGAAAACAAAATGTAAAAAAAACCCACAAAACCAAACAAAAACCCTCCAACAACAACAACAACAAAAGAAAAAAAAACCCAAACAAAACAAAAACACCCCCCCCAAACAAACAAAAAAATATAACCTGTCGTGTTTTAAACCCAGTCAGCCATAAGTCAGCCATGCAGTCTCTCTCTCATTCTCCCCCTTCTTTCCCTCCCCCTGCTCCCGGAGGGATGGGGAGGAGAATAGAAAACAATGTAACTCCCACAGGCTGAGATAAGAGCAGTCCAGTAAGTAAGGTATAGCAGAAATCACTATTGCTACCACCAGTAATAATAATGACAAAGGAAATAACAAGGGAAGAGAATACAACACTTCACCACTGCTGACCGATAAGTCGCACCACCCAGCAGTGATCTGGCCCTTCCGGGTAACTGCCCCCAGTTCTACATTCTGGGCATGACGTGCTGTGGTATGGAATACCTCTTTGGCTAGTTTGGGTCAGGTGTCCTGCCTCTGCTTTCTCCCGGCTTCCCCTTCTCCCTGGCAGATCATGAGGCTCAGAAAGTCCTTGGTCAGACTAAAACATTACTAAGCAGCAACTGAAAACACCATTGTTATCAGCGCTGTTCCCAGGCTGAAAGTCAAAAACACAGCATTGCACCATCTACTAAGAAGGAGAAAAAAGACTGCTACTGATGAACCCCGGACAAAACCCCAACACTGAATCCTATTTTGAAAAAAGAAAAAAAAAAGAATAAAATCCCTCGGATCCCTCTGCACTCAGGAAAGAGTAAGATCACCTCTCAAGATCTTAGGGTGATCTACCATAGATGTCTAGTGTCTACTAGCATACTTTATAGACAGAAGGCTATCTAAATGCCATTGGAAGTGATAGCAGGCATCCCAGACATCTGGAAAAGTAAAACAACCAAATAAAACAGGATGTTGAGAACAAAAGGTTGAATGAAAACTAAAGGACCAATGCACTTAGTCCAGTAAGGTGCAGCAAGACACGGGCAGCAAAGGACTTGAAACAAGTACCCTCATCCCTAGGGATGTTTTCTACCTATTGGAACAAACTGGAGCTAACTGGCACGAATGATCTGGAGCACCTAAGCTGACCATGATGCCCTCTAGATGATCATCTTCAGGAGCTGGGATGTCTGAATTATGCTAAGAACCATGTGCCTTCTGTATGCACTCATATTTATGAATTGTGTGATTCTGATTTTAGTTCTAAAAATCAGTACGTACTTGGTAAACATGACTCTCTGCTGTTTCTGTTGTCTCGAAATCCGTATTTGCTTCCCATGTGCTGGGAGAGGAGGCAAATCTGCGAAATGGATGCTCACAGTATCACAGTATACTTTATAAATTAAAAAGCTGTATGGAAGTGAGGCAGGTTAATTGTGTTGCCTGATTTCTGGTGTTTGCACATCCATCTAGCTTAACAGATCCACTCAACTGTTAAGAAGGAAATAGTATCTCAGGATTAATAGTATCTTAGACCAATAACTTATTGAAATGAGATCTAACAAATTGTAAAGTAGGGACTTGATAAACAGAAACAGCATAATGAGTGCAAGGTCAGAGCTGAAGCCTGTCTAGACATCAAGTTTAAGCAGGACACGTGAAGAGGCTGGTTTGCCATTCATAAAATTACATTGGCCCCAGTTAATCTTTGTCTAGACTATTACTAAAACTAATTCGATCTTGTACCCTGACACCTCTTAGAAGCTTGAGTTTCTTCTATATGTTGAAGTATTCCTCCATTGCAATCTGCATTATGCCATATTGGAGCTAGTGTATGTACTGGAAAATGCAGCAATATGCATCTCAACAGAACATAATTCATCCTGCTTCTGGGGTAATTGAGACAGTAGTCTCTGCTGCTACAGCTATAATGCTACTAGGCCTATAAGCTGTTTGACCATCCCTATGATACCTCATTGGCTGTAATGTAGGTATACACAGAGAGTGTACTACAGACTGAGCATCAGAGTTAGAGGCAGAAGGAACTGCAGAAAAAACATCCCACTGAGGATTAGTAGCCTGAGTCTATTCCCTGCAGCAAGAACTGTATAATCAACAGGGAAAAGAAGTGTCAGAAGTGTCAGAGGGAGTTGTTATCACTCTTCAATTGTGAAATAGAGGCAAGAACCACTTCCCAAGACATTTGCGAGCTAGTCTTTCACCCCCTGTGAACTGGATTTGTACGATTTCAGATTAGCACTCTTGCTCTCTTCCACTCTTGCTTTTTGCTCATTACTCCCCACATATCACCTCAGCCCTCAGCAGCCTCTTCCCCAGACTGAGTAATACTGAAGGGACATTACAATGTCCTGGGTTCAGCAGTAACAGTCATTTTTCTCCTTCTTGGTGCAGTGCAGTGTTTTGACTTTCAGCTCGGGAACAGAGCTGATAGCGATGTTTTAGTTTGGCCAAGGACTTTGTGAGCCTCATGCTGTGCCAGGGAGGAGGGGAAGCCAGGAGGAAGCAGAGACAGGACACCTGACCCAAACTGACCAAAGAGGTATTCCATACCACAGCACGTCATGCCCGGGATGTAACTGGGAGTTAGCCGGAAGGGCTGGGAGACTGTGGGGTTGGAGGAGGTATGGGTCAGAGCTTGGTCGGGCTTGGGGGGCGAGTTATCGGTCGATTGGTGGTGAGATGATGTATTCTCTTCCCTTGTTATTTCCTTTATCATTGTTATTATTGGTGGTAGCAGTAGTGATTTGTGTTATACCTTAGTTACTAAACTGCTCTTATCTCAACCCGTGGGAGTTGCATTCTTTTTGATTCTCCTCTCAGTCCCTCTGGGAGTAGGGGGAGGGAAAGAAGGGGGGAGTGAGTGAACGAGTTGCCTGACTGGGTTTAAACCACGACATACAGCTACATTCACTACTGAAATCTGTGTCCTTCATACTTTGGTATGTTTTGTCAATTATAAAAAATCAAAAGTTGTAGTGAATCCCCAAAGAAGTACCACATCTTAGACTAAATTACAAAGACTTACCGGAGGGGCAACTGCAATGAAATAAATGATTCAGCCCTCTTTTGCTATTATTGGGCGAATCTCAACAAGAGCCTGGGTCTGTGAAGCAGCTAGTCCAGAAAGTAACATCTTAAGTTTTATTTAATTTAATATCCTAGGTTAAATGTAGTCAAAATGAAGATGAAATAGCTCAGTTATCGCAAGGGTGTACAGCTAGATCATGCCCAACTAACTCCATAGGTTTGTAAACAGATGATTTTAGAAAGCACCTTCCAAAGAGCTAGCCAAATCGCAAGATTTCCACTTGGAATAAATGCATCCTTTAGTATCAGAGTGCTGCATAAAACTAAGGTGTGAATGTTCTGTAATACTACTCTACATACAGAATGAATTTCAAATAGCACTTTACTAAAATACTTGGATTCATAAGTGACACTGGCC